CGGGGTTGAGACCGGCAGTAGCCCCAGAGGAGCCCCAGGCGGAGTTGATTGTCCCTACAAACACCTCATACAAATATGTATAATTCATGTTGAATTACTTAAGTAGGGAATATCAAAACAAAAAAAAAACAAATTATGAATTCTGTTTTCCATATTATCTGTCAGGAGATTTATCAGTGAACATTTACAATCGTAAAGAAGATAGTTTGAAATTATACAGAGAACTTACTTACTTACTTACGCCTGTTACTCCTAATGGAGCATAGGCCACCAACCAGCATTCGCCAGCTCACTCGGTCGTGGGCGTTCCATCATACAAAGACGAACATATATCATTAATATTTTGTAAATCAACAATCTTGTGAACAAGAAGTACTTTTCATTTGTTTAAACTGATATTTTCATAAAAATAATTATTCTATTATAAATTAAAATATAAACCATTTATTAGATCCCCTTAACATCTTTCAAAACAACATGATTTAAAGGTATAATATAGTAGTGAAATACTCAACAACAACAACAACAAAAGGACAAAGAATGGGTTAAGAAATTTTCACTTGTTATTCCATATTCTGAATATTTTTAAATAAAAAAAACACACAACTTTAACATGAAAATTTATTTGAGGTAATGACCACAAAAAAAAGAAGGGGGAGGGAGAAGGAAGAGAATTAGTCGCCTACTCTTATAGATATATTAGACTGTAAATAATACTGAACATGTTTATGTAATGATGGATAAAAAGGTATTAATTGAAACATTGAATAAAAAAAAATTAAAAAAAAGTAGAGTAAAATGAGGGACATTACAAATATACAGATACAACACAGGATGAAATTATGGGGTAATAACGAGATGTACTATCCAAACACAGAAATGATAAATACCTTATACACCATATATATATATATATATATATATATATATATATATATATATATATATATATATATATATATATATATATATATATATATATATATATATATAAACAATCTTCAACGTGTGAACATATAAAGTGAAGATATTATAAGGGAAGTATCAATTCCCTTCAAATTGATTTCCATAACAGTAGCCCGATTTTGTGGATTGGTTGATATCAGACACTAACAGAGTTGGACGCCGGTTCACTAGTCCAGTAGGTTAAGCGTTCGCTCTCAAGACTAAAGGCAATGAGTTCGAATCCCGCGAACGAGATCGTGGATACGCACAGTTAAGGAGTTCCACAATAGGACGGAATGGCTATCCAGTGACTCCAGGTTTTCAATGGTACCCTAACATCAATCGGTTTATGATTTCAATCAATAATTTAATAATCACCACAACCCTATACTGATATCTATCAATTATCCCATTTTAATTACGTAGTTTTTTTTCACAGAAGTCATTCATAGTTTAAAGTTACTTACTTAATTACGCCTGTTACCCTCAATGGTGCATAGGCTGTCAACCAGCATTCTCCAACACACTCTGTACTAGACCTTCGTTTCTAGTTCTATTGGATTGTTTTTCATTCGTTTCATGTCTGTCAACATTTATTGACGTAATGTGTTCTTTGGACTTCTTCACCTCCTTTGACCTTGAGGATTCCAAGTGAAGGCTTGTCTTGTGACGCAGTTGGGTGATTTTCTCGCTATGTATCTAATGCCACTCCCAGTGCTCCTACTTCATTTTGTTCCTCTGCTGGAATTCGATTCTTTTTCTCCTACAGTAGATTGTTACTCCTAATGTCTGGCCAACGGATCCGAATTTATTTACGTAGAGCACTGTTGATAAACAGCTATATCTTCTGGATGATGGCTTTCGTAATTTTATACTGTATGTTTGTAATTTTATTCATGTATATATAATATGCAGTTTATTGTCTTCTTAAGTAGTATATTCTTTGAAAAGAAAAAAAATAGAATTATGCAATAACCAATGAGTGTTTTCTTTCTCACAATGTCTTCTCTCTCTATGATGTGATCAGGCATCTATGCATAGTGAAAATAAGTAATTGTCTTGTTAGTTAATGTTTAATAGATAACTTTGATGTATTGAAAAGTTATTTCATTGTGATTTAATTTGTTCCTTAAATGATAATAGATCTTTGAAAGCTAACTTTAAACTATCAGCACCAACCTACTGTGAGAAAGAACAAACCACATTCCAGTGGAGCAAGAAATCAGAAAGAAGTGCTGGTAGTGGATGGAGCACACATTGAGGAAAACACCCAACTAAATCACAAGGCAAGCCCTCACTTGGAATCCTCAAGGTCAAAGAAGAAGAGGGAGTCCAGAGAACACATTACGCCGAGAAATAGAGACAAACATGGAAAGAATGACCAAGAATTGGATAGAACTAGAAAGGAAGGCCCAGAACAGAGTGTGTTAGAGAATGCTGGTTGGCGGCCTATGTTCCATAGGTGATAATAAGCGTAAGTCAGTATAAAAGACCTATAATCTATCGTTACATATTTTCAGTATTTTATACTGATTGAAACTAATTGTCTATATTCTTACCAGTCATATACAGTAGGATAAAACCATTTCGAAATAGTTCAATGACCAATAAAAGATTCAAATGAGGAAACTTTTACAATACATTACGATCTTTTTGAACTAGAGTTAAAAAGACAAATGAAAGAATGAATTCTATTGGCTATATATATATATATATAAGTATACATTTGATATCTAAGAAGAGAAAAAAGAATTTATTGAAACATTACATAATAAGAATTTCATATTGTAATAAACATATAATAATGCTGAGGAGTCTCACAATAGGACGAAACGGTTATTCACTGTTTCCAGGTTTCCGATGCTGGTCTAGCTTCAATTGACTCATGATCTTAAATAGTAAAATTAATAAAATACCTGAAGTTTGTGCTGATGATATCGTTCAGAATAACGGTAAAAGCTCCACGACCAAAACATCCAGCTCAGAGAACAAAACCCCATCAAAATGAATAAGATGATTCCTATGACTAAGTATTTCTATAAGTTTTATTATATTAATTAATTGATTTGTAATTTAAATGTGTTCAATATGAAAATGTAATGATTGATTTAGACAGAAATTATGTGTATACTTTAACGTAAAACTGAACGGGAATTTATTTATTTATATTAACACATAGATATTGGTACAAGGAGGCACTGAATACATATGCGCCACACAACCCTCATTTGATATGTGTGAGGGCTATGATACTGCACGGGTATCCAAACCGAAGGAGTTGGTTTGGGGGGGGCACACCCGGACCCTTCGACCTGAAGGTGTGATCCACAAGGCATCGTAAGGAGATGCAGCCTCATGGTAGACGGTCACCAACGATTGGTTCATACGCCATTTGTTCCTTCAGGATACTAGAGCCCATGTGCACCACTGGTTTGGGATCCGGTCGAAGAGCTGGACATTCGCTTTTCGTCTTCTCAATTTCGTAAACAACAGTAATCCCACGAGAAGGCAGTGAGTAGGACTTCCCTGGCGGAGACTATATACGCGTGGCCATGTGAGAGTATTTCGACAGGGAGAGCGGACTCTCCCCACCCTCGGCCGTACCAGGGGATTTGGCATCTGTAGATCCAGATCCTTTGATAAATTTATATGAGGTAACGATATGATTCGTAGAAAGTGAACCAGTTAAAATTTGATTGAAAACTTGATCATTTTAGATAAGTAAGTAAGATAACTATTAGATAAGAAAGATTTATAAAAGTGAATTCTTACAACTCGATGCAAAATAATCTAAACATATAATAGATATTATCAGAAAAAAAGACTTTGTAGAGATTGTAGTAATTTAAATAGTTGGATTCATGAATTGATGTAAACTAGATTACTATGGAAAACCTGGAGGCATTGAATGACCGTTTAGTCGTAGTATGTGACTCAGCAATGAACATCCAAGATCCCATTCGCGAGATCTATCAAACGTTTATCGATTTGTATATTTTAAGGTTTAGATGTAACAAATATAGTATTCTCTTGAAGTTTCTCTTTTGTTATGCTTGACTTGTTAAATCATCTAAAATTGAATTCAGAAACTATAATCAAATGAAGTGATTTCGTTTAGTTGAATTCCCTTCTTACATTTCTTTTTTATCGTCTATCGAATTCTATAATATAAAATCAGTGTAAAATGCAATTCATTGAAACATAACTATTATCATCAGAAAGTGGGATTTTATGGAGATTTTACTAATATAGTAGTTGAATTCATGAGTCGATGTAAACTAGACCACCATAGAAAACTTGAAAGTACTGGACGACCGTTTCATCCTATTATGAAACTCTTCAGTAGTGTGTATCTACGATCTCACTTACGGGATTCGAACCCAAGATTGTCGATCTCCAAGGAAAACGTTTAAACTCTAGATCACTGAGACGTAACCAACGGTGATCTAGCTTTACGTGACTTATGAATTCAACTATTAAATATAATAAATACTTATTTTGAATTCTATATTAAAATGAATAAATAATTATTACGATTCATTAGTTAATGGTACTTGATAAATAATAATCTATTTAGGTTAAAAGTTTATCATCATTCAATATAATTTAACGTGTATAATGAATGAACTTTTTGTCGGATAATTTTCTCTTTTCTTTTCTTTTTTTCTTTTCTCTTTTTTCTTTTCTTTTCTAGAAAACATTCATTCGTAAAGAAAGAATTTACCACTTGAAAACACCATAACAATTATACACTTATTATCATTATGATCATTATTATATATATTACACTGAAATGTAATGAATAAAAGATAAACAAGAAAATACTAAAGAAAAAAAAGATAATTATTTTCAAAGAGAAAGAAAAGAAAAAGAAAGAAAAGAAAAAAAGAAAAAGAAGAGAAAAAAGTCTCGTGATTAAAAGAAATGAAAATGAATTTCTCTTTATTATGATTGGTTGATTCGAATATACAATAGAAATGAAATCTTTTTATATTGTATATAGGTGTACTCAAAATGCATGTTTGCTTGTTACCACTATATCATTGAAATAAATATAAATATATAGATATAGATAGATAGATAGATGTTTATAGCGTAGGCTATTAGCTTTATATAAAATGATATGGTACATAAATGAGAAACTAAAGTATCTTTATTACCGTTAATACAACAACAACTACAACAACAACATCAACAATAACACCGACAATAACAATAAAGGCCACTATTCATCCATTTTACTATTACTGCTACTATTAATAGAAGTTAACACATTTGAAATTAATCCAATTTGACATTTAAAAAAAATAAAACGGAATTCAAATTTGTTTGTTGAATTTTTCTATTCAATAATACTTGATCAGAATACACAGCAAAATTCAGTTTGTGCATTTATCGACGATTAAAGAAGATTAAAGAAGAAAGAAAACACATTTTGTTCAGATTGTGTTAACAAATTATAAATTAAATACAACGTGCTTTTTTTGAAGTAAGTCATTGTAGAATGTAATTTTTTATGAATAAAGGTGTGTTTAATATCAGATGAGTTTTGTGGATATTACAGTATTTTCAACAGTTAAGATCATGAGTCAGTTGAAGCTAAACCATCATAGAGAACATGGAAACAGTGAACGGCCGTTTCGTCGCTCATTGTCATGGATTAGTTGAAGTTAGACATTAACACCGTTGGATGCCGGTCGGCTCAGTGGTCTAGTGGTTAAGTGCTTATGTGCGAAACTAGTAGGTCCTGGATTCGAGTCTCGAAGGGGGGCGAGGTCGTGAATGTGCATTGCTGAGGAGTCCCACAATAGGACGAAACGGCCGTCCAATGCTTTCAATTTTTCCATGGTGGTCTAGTTTCAACTGACTGATGATCTTAACCGTTGAAAAGTTGTGTGTGTTTTATTTTTCTTTTGTATTTAATTCATTCATATACAGTTTGTTACATCCTACTGAATGTTATAGCATTGGTATTGCAGTTGATATTCATAATAGTACTGATTTTTGTTATAAGTAGTAAAAGTATTAATCATGATGATTATGAACTTAATCTAATATTGTAATTAAGATTAATGAATTGATTGAATTTTCGAATAAACTAATATTTGATAAATTACAACAAGATTATTTATCAATAATGAAAAACTACTCATCGAATAGGTGCGTTAAGTACCTAATTCTATAGTGCAATATCGATTATAAAATAACATTTAAGAAAATGGGATTAACAATAATCAATGGAATCATGGGAAAAAATCAAACAGTTGCTACGTTCAATCATATATAAAAAGGAAAAGAAAGAATTAACAAAACATTTTGAAGAATAGTCAGTAGTAGTAGTAGTAGTAGTAGTAATAATAATAATAATAATAAATATCAAGAGATGAATGTTGAGAATAAAATACAAAAAATGTAAGAAATACAAACATGGTTTACCAAAGTTCTGCTACAAACTCCTATTTACTGATGGCTAAAATAGCGATAGTGGTTGTACAAACTTCTTTTGGATTCAAAAATTAGGTTTGTAAACATGCATTGAAATGACATCAGCAATGTGCAAAAGACGAGTTCGTAAACTATGTAGCAAATTTGATGGAATACAATGGATAACCTTAAAAGCTTTATTCAATTCAACTTAATGACTTGTGTCCACTAATTGAGCAAGAATAGAACTCTTAATCAGTCTTATCTGTCGTTTGCTCAACCACGACGGATGATGTCCTGTTATACAATGACAAACTTGACGAATTGTATATATTATGCAACATAGCAACTGCTTAGTTTTCGAATAATTACTTTGATTATTGATTCATCCTCTTTCTTCCAATTTATAATCGATATGTCATTACATAATTATTACGTAACATATCTACTCGATGAATATCAATTGATTATTGTAAATCACATAGATATAGATATGTATTAATGTTGAGTTAATGATGAAGAACTAATTGAACAGGAATTTCTTCACTCAATTCATTCCTTCTTTATTGATACAAAATGTTTATATTGAACAAGAAAAGTATAATCAGAAGGGGTTTGTGGAGATTTTGGAAATTTTCACAGATTGAAATCATGAGTCAGTTGAAGCTAGACCACCATTGAAAAACTGGAAGCACTGGACAGCCGTTTCGTCCTAGTATGGGACTCCTCAGCAGTGCGCATCCACGATCCCGCACCACGCGGGGCTCGAACCCAGAACCTACTGGCTTCGCGCGCGAGCACTGTTGAGGATTCCCATACTAGGAGGAAACGGCCGTCCAGTGCTTCCAGGTTTTCAATGGTGGTCTAGCTCCAACTGACTCATGATTTCAATCTGTGAAAAAAAGTATAAGTTGTTCGAATCAAATTACAATGAAACAATCATTTTCCTAGATTATTATTAATGTTCAGTATCAGTATAATTCAGTAGAAATCTGACTAAAGTTATCATAGTTTGTAGAACAGTAACCTAATTGAAATGTTTACTGCACAATAGTCTTACCGATTGTAAACTGTAAAAGAAGCCCAATTTATTCCATAATTGTAGGGACTCATTTGGTAGATACCTTAGTTTTGTAATTGTATTTTAAACATTTAAAATTCTTTGTTTTCGTATCAAAAGTACCCATTTTCATTTTGATGTTGTATTTCCCACTTGAAAGGATCTTAAATGCTATTGGTTAGTTATTTGTTCCAAGGACACTTTTATGCTATATATATTTACGCTTGAATTGTGCTTATTGTTGTTAATCGTGCTTCTGGCTACTTGTGGAAAAGATATTTCTCTCTTCTGAACTTGTATTTCTCTTGATAGTTAGTAAGGCTAAGTCATATTGGAATAGTTAGCTGAATAAGTTATTATTATTTTCATTGAGTCTTCATTCCATTTACAGACTAGATCAATTCGTTATCTCTTCAAACATTGATGATAATAATGACGTATGGTGTCATTTCATATTTTACACGTTTTAGGTAGTAACAAAATTAGTTTTCATCAATTCAAACTTCAATAGCAATAGATACCTTGATAAAAATGATCCATAAATTGATCAACTCATTTCTAATTGCCATCATTGTTTTAAATAAAATTTACCAATATTAAAAGACAAGTCTAATAATATGGGGATGAGACTAGAAATGGGAAAATGAAATTAGGCTTATATAGTGATTGACATAAAATAACGATTGTATATGTATAGTTTATCAGTTATTGAAATTTGAATGGAAAAACTATGATTCATCTGATCGAGATCATCAGCACAAACCTCAGATAGAAGTTTGTGCTGATGATGTCGTTCAGAAGAACCATGAAAGATCCACGATCAAACCATCCAGCCCAGAGAACAAAACTATGATTCAATATAGATATATATATGGAAAAATATGTTTTATAATTATGAATTAATAATAATGATCAAATGGAATCATTGGGTTTGATAAAAATGTTACGACTTGTAGCCTTTTGCCCTTATCAATATATGATGTAATAATACCGCCAAGTAGAGAACAGTGAATAATCGACCGGAATAATAAAGCATAAAAACCTGTACAAGCAATCTAGAGTCCTTATCGGTCCTTTTCCTTGCCTAACCCTGCCATTTGAGTCATGGACGTCAATCGCAACTTCCGTGATATGAATAATTTAATTCAAACATACTGGGTTTACATAAAAATTAAACAGACCACATCGTAACATAAAATAGAGAATACACATTTGTACAACATTTAGTCAGATGTGGCTGTGAATGAGGGGAGGGGTAGTAATTAATAAACAGGGCATAATTCAAGAATGGTAAACCGTATAATAACAGTCCGTAGGTCAAAATATATATATATATATATATATATATATATATATATATATATATACTCGTTGCTAAATAGCTGTACAATAGGAATATATATAAATAATATAATCCATAAATAGATCCCAATAGTTACCCTTCTCGTCGGGTTATAACCAAAAATCTAATAAATAAATGAATTTATTTCTTTCTTTCAACACATAGATATTGGTACAAGGAGGCACTGAATACATATGCGCCACACAACCCACATTTGATATGTGTGAGGGCTATGATACTGCATGGGTGCCCAAACCGAAACAGGTGGTTTTCTTAGGGGGTCACACACGGAGCTTTCGACCTGAAGTTCTGGTCCATAAGGTAGTGAAGCATCGTGAGGAGATGCATTCCCATGGTAGCCGATGACCAATAATTGATTCATACGCCATTTGTTCCTTCAGGATACTGGAGCCCATGTGCACCATTGGTTTGGAATCAGGATTTTCCAACTCCCCTAGGTAGACTCCCCATGTCCGCCAACCCAGCTAAAGCGCCAGACATTCGTTTTTCGTCTTCTTAATTTCGTAAACAACAGTAATGCTACGACAAAGCAGTGAGTAGGAGTTCCGTGATAGAGGCCATATACGTGTGGCTATTATGTCATTGAATAAAAGTAAAAAGAATTTAGCTTATAACATAACAAAACTACTTACTTAAACTGTACAGTCATATTTATAGCTGTTTGATAAATTTTCTTTATTTTTATTTAATAAAAAAAGATAAATTTATAACTAAAATTCAAATAAATTTACTAGTCAGTTAGAGTATCCATAATAAATTAATGAAAGTATCCCAAGGAGCCTGGAAAAACCAATGAGATTTACAATAACAGATCTAGAATTTCGGCGCGAAATTCTTTATTCATTTCACTAAAAAAACGTCTTGACATTTTAGTTAATGTCAGTTCGTGATCGAAAACTGAAATCGAATTCCTAACCCTAACCATCAACTTTTAATCACAATCCTTATTCTTTACACAGATTTAAAACACTAATTTAGCCTTAGTCAGTAGGTGGATATTCTCAAGGCCACTTGAGTGTTACTCAAAGGTCATCCATAGAATTATAATCTTATCGAAATCCCTTGTGACAAGTTCCCTTTTTTTTAACAAAAACCATCAACATCATTGTAAATCTTGTATTTCAAGAATTACAAATTTCTAAACATGATTAGAATGTTTTATTTATCAGAATAATAGCGACAATTGGTTGAAGTGAGACATTAACACCATTGGATGCCGGTAGGCTTAGTGGTCTAGTTCTTTAAGGGCCTGGCGCGAGACTGATAGGTCCTGGGTTCGAATCTTGCGGGGTGCGGGATCGTGGATGCGCACTGCTGAAGATTCTCACAATAGAACGAAATGGCCGTCCAGTGCTTTCAGGTTTTCCATGGTGGTCTAGTTTCAATTGACTCATGATTTCAACCAGTGAAATAGTGACGATAATTTGGCTTAGTTATATTAGACATTGATTACATAACTTATAAAATGTAATCATAGGGAGAGAGAGAGAGACAGATGGTGTTAGTGCTGTTTAACAAATACTTGAAATGAAACCTAGATCATACGAATGATAGTCAAGAATTCTCGAAACGTCTTCTATAATGAATAAATAAATAAGAAAGACATATTTCGTAAACATAAGAACAACCAAAAGTATAAAAA